GTTTTGCTGATTTCGGATACAATCCACTTTTGCAATCTCGTTCATTCTCAGGTATTGCTTCTGTGAGATGGAGCTCTTCATTCTTTTCCTGCGTTGCTTGTCCGTTCTTGGCTTTACCACACTAGGGCTCTTAACATATATGTTCGTTCGTGTCCCTACCAAGCTGAGTGGTATTTTTCGTTTTGCTCTGATTGGAAACGGTTTCACGTAGGATGTTCAGTATGTGACATTCAGTTCATAACGTGCTTTCAGGATCTGTTTGGCTCAGATATGTCTGACAGTAGGTACTACACCTACCTTCTTGCTGCCCTGTTTTGCCTTCTACACTAATGGTATCTTACTCCACCTCGGTTTGAGTCCTCACTTGCAATTCTTTATTCAGATTTATATATTTGCTTGTAAACGTCCTTCTGCTTGATTTACCTTACCTCATGTTTTGCAGTGGGAGCTTGGTGTGCCGCATTCATATGCCTTCTCAGAGCTGTTGCCGTTACAGTTCATGTGTCTGAACAACTGAAGACAGGGATTATCGTTGGCTTCATATTCGTTTGCACGTTGGGTTTCTTGGTTGCGTTTTGGTTGCATTTGGAAACGCTTATGATCACGAATGATGAAGATCGGCTGGTTTGTTCGATGGTCTGTTTCCTATTTCTACCTTATGATAGCCTATGATATACCTGTTTGAAGAAGTTCAACAACAATCCTCCACCGGAGATATATATGCCTGAAACTATGGTGGTGATTATAAAAGCGGATAGCTATACAATTATAATTCTATTTTTTATTGCCATCTGCGGGTTTACGGGCGTCTGTGTCGTAACCACATCCTATCTCATCTGGAGTTTGAAGCGTCGTGCTGCTTCTACAGAATCAGTCAAAGCATCGGAAGACCAACGCAAACTCACAGTTAATATTCTGAAACTAGTGCGGTCTTCTATGTCAAACAAGTTATATACGGTGTTCCAGACTTTCTTTCAATTATCTGGCATCAGCTTCCCTCCTTTAGTACTTATGGTTTGTTCTATCATTTCTGTGTTCTCGACAAGTTTGTATGCTTACTCTTTCATAATTCATGATAGGTTTCAGTCGTGCCTATGATAGTTTTTGTCTTGTTGAGCATCAATCCTTTGATATCATGCATCATAATGCTCAGACTCGTCCCTGCTTATAAAAAACGTTTAAGCACAATGTGTTCCTCAGGTAATTACTCACACAATGAATCCTATCAGTTACACTGACTGTTCAGTTCTTCCCGTGAAGCTCATCGAACGGGTATTCAATTCCCACCCGCAAAGAGTTTCTGTTTCAACCTGTGCTAACTCCATTCAATAGCAGCTAGCATATCCGTTCTGCCAGTGGAATTCATGTTCATGAAAGCACCTCCAGCTTCTTCTAGTACTATGGAAGTCAAAATTCCATTTAGTAGTTTGTTCCAATCCTCCTGTCCGATCCGAGAGATCCAACTGTCGATAATCTATAGATTCTCCGAACTCCCAAACATTCCAACAACTATTATCGGTTGTCGATAAAGTATAAAGAAAAGAAAAAAAGAAAACTTAATGGCTCATCTACAGAACTCTCATTCTGTTACATTTTCCGACTCACTCATTACATTACTGTATGAGGCATGAAGACATCACTCACAGTTTCATGCATTTGTCACTAATTCTTCTTGGGGCTTGGGAATCCCAGATGTCGTACACTTTTCCTTTTCTTATAATTGATTGATGTGTACTTAAACATACGATGTACGGCACAAGTAAACATGATTGTACTTCTTAATTCATTCAGCTGTTGTGGCTATATACAGACCGTTCAATTTAAAAAAAAAATTTCTATATAATAAGTTTATCAATTGTCCTTATAAATTTTATATGTTTAACTTGGCTGTTCATTGGGAATAGAGTAGTGTTCTTTGAGTCGTAGGTTCATCTTGTACGATCGAGTACTTGGATCCTCATTGAACTGTGACGGTGGAAACAGAACTCAACATATGCTTTCGAACTGAGAAAGAGTTCTGAAAATTGGCTGTGTTTCCGAAAAGTTGCGTTGCTTACAAGATAGTACAGATTTATGTTTTGCTTACTTCAACAGTGAAGTCAATCTCATTCCACATTGGAATGTTTAGCATACGTTTTCATTTTGCACGCAATCAGAAATAGTGAGCGATCGTGTTAACGTGAAACACGCTAACCTTCCTCTCACTGATATCTCACTCAAATCCTAACAGTTTCTTCTCAAATCGGCCATCAAAGGATAGAATGAACGTTCTTTGAGGTGTAGTTTCATTTTTGTACTTCGACCTAGTGCTCCTTGCCATTCTTGACAATAACAACACGCCCCTCCCCTTATAAACAACTTACAGTCTTATCGATTAGTTTCCTGATCCCTTCTTCATCCATTCCATAGTGTTTCTTCCTGTAGTTATTATTATTTATTTATTATTATGAGCTTGTGTGTATCGAATGAACTGACTGGCTACTTTCGCAATTCAATATCGCTTTCTTCTGTGTGTCTGTCACTTCATATGAGATTGCAATTCTTAGATTCTAACTTCTCCCCGTAGGTGTGAGTGTGATGTTTGAAACAGTTTTATGTATATGAAGTTTGATATTCTCTGAAGCAGTTGTCAGCATTAGTTTTGGTTTGTGTTTGTTATGTTACTGCCAAGTTGGTGACTCCTTCTGGTTCAGCAGACTATTCAAGGAGAGGTGTTAGCGTATCTTAAAGGGGGATCCTCTTATGGGAGAAAGTGAAGACACCTATCAAATTTTTTTTTTGAAATTTTTTTTTCCTCGAAAATAGAGCTAGAAAGAAGGTGCAACTGCTGCATACTGCTGCTTCTTGCTGCTTCTTTCTTTCAGCTTCTTGTGACGTTTCGTTTCTTTTCAACTAGTTCCTTCATTACAATGTTC